TTTTTGCAGATATTGTTACCTACATAATAAATTCCCTTTGCATTCCTTTTGGCCTTGAAGTTACGCAAATTGGGGGCAAATATTTCTTGGTAAACAACCACCCACTGTATAATTTACAACCCCAACACGAAATCTTGACTTTCTTCTACTAAAAATTTCCTTTTTTTATTGCGTCCATAATGACCCAAGAAGATACTCTAATTTTGTTTACACATTGCTGCCTATTCGTTTTAAAGAAGGACCTTTTACAAGATACGGGCTCTTTCAAAAACAGAACAATAAGTATTTTCCATTATTTATGGGGCTTGCAACGTCCCTGTCTCTCCTACATTGGGCAATTTTTGAAATTTGCATAATTTACAATACCATCTTAAAGAAATTTTGCTCAAGTTACAATTCTGTAAGACTATTGTAAATACCTGCGACAAAGTCCTTTCCTATATTGCTTAGTTATTAAAGTGGAACCTTAAAAAATAAATCTTTTTACAATTTACAGCGATCTAGGTATTTATCTTGTTAATTTAAATATATGCTCTACAGAAAAGGTTTGTTATAACTTTTTTATCAATTTTTCATCAATTCGCTACGTTTGTGAATAATATTTAGACTCGAAAATAGATCGCCAAGTTCATTCTTCTTTATTGGGCTTTTGCAACACTTTCGGTGCACAATGACCCGGAGCGGCGCCATAAAACGTCCCTGGTATCAGGTAAATAATTGCAATAACCGATACAAAATCGCCGAACGCTTTTAAAGGGTTGTAATATTAATAAGGGGTTGTTACATCAGGTCAGTCGGTTTCTTTACAATTCGGCTAGTTGAAGGACGATCTGCCGATATGATTTGACGCTTTTCTAAAGAGTTTAATTTGAGCAAACCCAGGGGGTGCATTATAAAGTTTTATTATTTAGACTAACACTACAAAGCAGAAAATATTAATGTTCATTTTTATAATTTAAAATTCTGACCATATTTTAATTGTTTAATAGAATCAAGCGAATAGGTACTGATTTGTTTTATATGTCGTTGAGTTTAAAAACTGTTAATTACATTATTTTCTGCATTTGTATTTGATAATTATTTGATGTTGTTCGCATTATTTTTGTTTCTTATTTAAACTTCTTCAAAGTCAATCCAACTTTTTCGGTTAAGTTTTAAGTTCGTTGAAATTGTACCATTTTCTATAAGTGTTCTCTTTATGTCTTACTTTCGACAACTATTAAAAGATTATCGATCTGTGTCACCTATTCGGAATGTTGTTAACAAAACTGTAGAAAATCATTAATTATTTTTGGAGATCCTCAAACCCAAGAGTAGGACATTTAATTATCAGTTATTTAGAAGAGCGAGTTCTGTTGTAAAGATGTAAGGGACACCGGTAACTTTTGCTGACCCATTTTTACGAAAATGATCGGTTTAGAGAGAGGACAATGTAAATAGTGATTTCGGATAATCTTCTGCTGTCAGAGAAGGGTTACAAATGGTCCGACGGACAGACACATACTGTCCGGTTGGCTATGTAGCCGTAAAAGTCCGAAAATTCGAAAGCGACAACAAAAAATCGTCAATAGAGGAACGGTAGCCGAAGCCAATGGTAACAATACACGCGGTCATAAATGTTCTGGTAAAAGAATTATCTAACCCATTGTGATACATCCCTTTGGTTCTAAAGACCTGCTGCACATGGTTACTTATTACGAATTTCACACAAGATTTATGTCTTTTTAAGGAAAAAATGCAGGACGACGCACGACGTTTCAAAAGGATATCTACACATTTCAGAAAAGGGACATCGAACCAGTGGCGTACCTTCTACTTTTATGTTTCTCCGGCGCTAGAAAGTCGATGATGTTTAACAAGTGTTTAGAACATCAACGCGAGCAAACCGCGGATAAAACCTATCATAAAATTTTGTACATACTTTGTCTGGATATAGGATATAGGGTACCCTTTATCCAGAAAACAAATAGTGTTCCCGAAACATATGAAAATTAGTTTTATATGGTCGTCGATGATCCTTGATTCATACTTAGGACTTATTATGATAAAACCTATCATGACATTTTGTACACGCACTGTCAGGGTTACAGAAAAGGATAAGAAAATAAAAGAAGAGAATAGGAAAAGGGTGCCATTTATCCAGAAAAGAAATACTGTTCCCGGGAGACAGAAGGATTTCTCTTCATGTCGCTACTGTCAATCTACGGAAATGTGTAACCTAGAAAATTAGGAACTTTAATATTATCCTGATAATCCTGGTCAGAACTATTTATCACATTTATCAACTGTATTTTCGATTATCATTGACATGAATGTAGAGCATCAGCGCGAGCGAAGCTTCAAGTAAAAGCTTGTAATTTATATTTTGTGATATCAAAATCGTCGTGTAAATTAATATGTAAGCAAACTGTCATTGGTCTAATTGTTTTTTTTAACATGTTTTAACCATCACAAAGGCCAAATAAAAACAATTAGTCTTTCGTAAGGGACAAGTCTAGGAAAACAGTTAGTTCTTTATGACCGGCAACTTTTGCGACCCTTAAAACCTGAAAAATTTTTTTACCAATTTGTATCTATAATTTACGTCTACGCTACTGTTTTTATAAACGAAGGAAGAATCTATCGGAGAGATCTTACACATTTGCGCAAAGTTGAACAGAAAAATGTGTTTCAAGTCAAGGAAAAGATTTTGGACCCAACTGGTTACTAGATATATATAATTGCTCGGCTAGTGCCGATGTATACGGGATATTATTATATTGGAAGGAAAGATTAATATGGTGGGTGTCAAAAAGTGAACCTTTTCCTTCTCGTGAAATTCTATACAACACCAGAGAAATCCGAAGTGAATGACCAAAGCATTTAATGTTCGGCTTCACGTGGGCATTCCTATACAACGCCAGTGTTGAGGAAGAACAATATTTCATATTGTCGTTATTTGCCTGTGTTTTTGTTTATATTATCAAAAAAATGATATTATATAAGAGAATTAAAATAAATATGTTTGTACTTACTTTGTCTGTAATATAGAAAACAATTATTGCTATAGACATTTTTTACTTACCAAAGTTCAGGCTTTTAATACTCAAGAGTAATTATCACATTAATTAACGACACATTTTCTATAAAAATCGAAAAATCCGCACCGTTGATTAAAATAATTAAATAATTCAATCCGAAAAGGCCTAAAGCTGGCGATAAATATTTACTAAACATCGAACTATTTCTTTTATCTTAGTAAGATGGAAGATAATCACCTAATATCCTTTTATTTATGTGTCAAATCTTAAAAAAAAGCAACCCCAATATTTTCACCCTTTTCCTTTGTTAAATAAACACGTATGAATAGATAAGGAAAGAAAGGAAGCATCAACAAAGGTGATACGTTTCACATCGTAGATCCTGTAGCATTACGCATAGTTTAAGGGGGTTGAAAACTGGCGATGTAACCCGTTTGAAAGGAAACTACTATCGTACTTACTTAATCCTTTGAATACACCACCCTCACAATGAACACAATACCCTTTCGTGCCAAGTCACCCGCGTAAATGGCCGTCAAAACTGTATCAGAACCCGTCGGCATCTTTGTAAATAGAAAAAATATTTTCTACGGCAAGACTTACCTGCAACCAAAAGAAATTATACAACATTAGTTAAAGTTAAATTAAATTTATATTCACTTTTATTTCACAGTTATATATTTTTAAATAGCAGTAGTTATTATAACAAAAATTTCAACTCGTTTATCTTTTAACAAATTTGTTTATTATAGGGAAGATAAGAAGGATATCGCATGGTTATCCTTTCAAATAGATTTCGGTTTAAATGCGTTCGTTTAAAAGATCCTGAAGGGATTAACTCCTTTCTATTCATTAAACCGCATGTAAGAAAAGGTGAAAGATCGCAGCGAAGAGTGAATAAAATACTTTTAATCAGGTAAGAAAAACATTTGAACATTAATCGACAAAATTCACTTTTATTTACCAACGCATAAAAAAAACGCATCTTATAAGACCAGGTACCCCACAAGACAATTTCAATTGATTGCATTATTAATAAACACATTTTGGTATGCACTAAATCTTGTTTTAAACTTGTGCGAAATATTATTGTATTATTCAAACTTATTTGAAATTGTGTCTCGACTGCCAACAAGCGCGCCCTATGAATTGAAAGGAAAACCGGGGGTGTAACGGCGCTTGTACTCGAAACTCTTACAGGACACGTCAGGATTCTCGTAAATGAGTTCACGTAAGATAAGGTCGGTTTCATCAAAGACAGATAGATAACACAACTGAGAAAGCGATTTCTTTTTACCTAAGAACCAAAAGATTCAAAAAATATTTTATGGATTGTTTAATTGAAATTTTATCGTTATAAGTATAAGAATGAAAGAAATACTTAACGAATTATAGTTCAAAACGATGGAATTGTACGCTTATGTAAGCTGTATGAATTTTACTTTATTTAGTTTACCAATAATGGGTACTTGTGGTGGTTACGCCATGGGGCTTTCATAATTTCTTGAATGTTAATGTTCCAAGAATTGCTAGGGATGTTTCTAATTAAATTTTGATTTAGGATTCTTAAAAGATACATGAATTATGAGAAAAAACTGCAACTTCGTCAACTAATAGATGTTAACGTAGTAATACATATCAAAAATTCAGGATGATTTCAAATAAGGCTATCAATTATTAATAAATATTCAACTAACTTGTGTGTATAAAAACGAGCATGTAGAACAATCTTCAAACATCAAAAATTGATTATATTATGTCAGATTACCACAATTAAATATTATTGAAGTTAGCAATTAAAATATCTTCAAAACTGACCAAATTAATTAAAGAACTTTTCCAACTACTGCATTTATTACTCATATTCGATCCAAACCAATAAATTAAACATCAAAATATCAGTACAGCGATAGTATTGATCTTTATTGATTTGCGTACATAGCTTTACTATCAATTATTATTTTAAGTTTCCAATCTTACCTTTAACCATTCTATGGTGGTAACATTCATGTGTAATAGTAATCCTTTTTCTTATTAATCAGTTTAAACACAAAACCACAATCACTTTCACTTTAAATTAGTTTACTAAGTTATTCTTAAACGAAGCGATAATTTAAAATTAAAACTACACATTTAAATACATTTACACATACGTACCCGTTCGCGAACTTAACTCAACTAATAACAGTACTAAACCGATAAGTTTTTTGCAGATTTATCATGACAAACACTGGCCTCGCAACTGTTTTTTATAAGCATTCATTTGAAGGTGAACTTGAGTGGTATAAATTAAAGGGTTCGCACAAGAAGTGTCGTATTGTATTACCGGGTTGGCACAAGAAATTTTTAAAGAAAGTCACTTCTATGCTCGCGAACGGTTAATTTAGAAATTCGGAAAAGGTTGTTGAAGGGGTATGTTTGGAGCGCGGCGTTGTAAGGGTGCGAAACATGGACAGTGGGCGCGGCGGAAAAGAAAAGGTTAGAAGCCTTCGAAATGTAGTGTTATGGGCGAATGATGAGGATAACGTGGGTAGAAAAGGGTAGAAAGAATAGGAGAACAGAGGACTCTATGGAAGTCAATTAAAAATAGGCGAGATAGGTTGGTAGGACGCCTTCTCAGGCATGAAGGTCTAGTCAGAGACATATTAGAGGCAGAAATAGGAGTTAGGAGGGGTAGAGGTAGACCTAGATTAGATTACTGTTCGCAAATAGTTAAGGATGTGGGTTGTTCTAGTTTTAGGGAAATGCGAAGTTTAGCTCAGGATAGGAAAGAGTGAAGGTACGTATCCAACCAGTCTTAGGACTGACGACCTTATGACGATGATGATAATATCTATTTAGTACACAGTAGCATATAAAAGAACATTTTATTACATCTATTGATATAACCATTGATAAATTCTGGTAATAAATAAAGCGTACGTAATGGTTGATTGGTTCCATAAGTACCTACATATGTATATTCCCAGAGAAATAAAAATATGTTGAACAAAAATCAATTCAAATTCAGTTTATATTGTCATAAGATAACACAGCAACCAGAAGAAGGCTCAGAACGATAGACAAGACGTGGTGGAGGAAGATGCGGGGGATGATGATGATGATGGTGATGTGGTGGCCCATGAAAATGCGGTGGCGGAGGTCCATGGCGATGTGGTGGCCCATGAAAATGTGGTAGATGGGGTCCATGATGATGGGGTGGACCATGAGAATGGAGTGGCGGTGGTCCATGGTGATGGGGTAGACCGTGATGTCCTGGTGGCCCAGTTGTATGATAAGACATTATCCTTGAATGACTAGCAACTTCGTAATATCTAATAAAATAACAATTAACAACAATAACAGTATGCACTGTGTCGTGTAACTATTTACCTGTTTTGGCTGGCAGGTTCTCTTCCACTTGATACGAAATGCTATTAATTAATATCTAATTGTGCAACAACAATGACACTTAAAGGATTTACGCGGTGGTCTTGTTCAAACTAAACTTTTCAAAACACAATTTATACTGACTGCCTATACAGTTTTGCAGAGATAAAATCATTGTTATCGTCATAAGTGATGATTTCGGGAACTGTTGATGTGATTGTCATAGATGCACAAGTGTGCATGACTAATCGGAAGGTCTACGTAGAATTTACTTGTACGTTCATTATCATTTGTTTTCCAGTTATCTTTATCAGATTGTTTATCAAAATAACCTTCTAGTTATTTTTTAACTTAATAAGTTCTAAAGTAAACAAGTGACACATCTTTAATCAAAATGTAGATAGTTATACCACAATATAGGGTGTAACAGAAACAAGTTCCGAGCTTGCAGGAGGGGTAATAGAGAAATATAAAACATATGAAAATTAAGTAAATTAAGTAAAGTTCACCGTTTTCGACAAAAACGTAGTTGAAAGTACAGGCAGATTCAATTCCGGTCCTGGTAAAGAAATACGGTCCGCAACGCTGCACTCAATCACCTGGTGATTACCAGCATCAACTTACATTTTTTCTTTCTTTTGCATTCGTATATTTACATAGTGTTACCTATAACGTACTTATTTAATTTATTTAGTCTATACATGATGTGCAGTATTAAATTGTTTATGTTTATCTTACAATATAATTATTAATATTCGGAAGCAAAAAGCGACGAGGTAAGGGTGCCTTTTTTTGGCACCAATCATTAAACGGTATAAAATACACATCAATGTAGAATTGACATTAAAACATTTATTTTGCAGTCAATTATTTTGTACATCGGGGACACACCAACGATGAAGTTTTATTGTGTACATTAATAAAAATAACATTCCTATAAGGTACATTGAAAATGGTCAGTCACAACATTTAAAAATGTATCGTTATTATTATAATTTATTAGACATTATTGTTACTGTCCGGTATAGTTTAGAATTGTGGTTTGTTGCCTTACATATATAGAATAACACTTAACAATATCTGCATTTGTCTAATGTACATGGATTGTCGTTAACAACAAGATAATGGATCACCAATTATTTGGATTTAATTTGCTAATTCATCAGGTAATACCACCACACGTACGTATGTAATTGTTTCTATTTTAAAAGTACACATTGAGTAAAAATTTGTTATATCTTCATCGGGAAATAAATTCGAGAATGAAATTATTAATACAAATAGCAAATCAATTTAATTGGTGATATGGTGACCCTATTGGAAATTATTTTACCATTTACTTAAAAGTTCAATTTATCACTAAATTAAGTACAAAATCTAAAGGATTTATTTTGTTAACACAGCAGGACTTCAGTATCTACGTTTTCAAAACGATTCATGAACACAAAATTAAAAAATGTAAAAATTTTCATTCAACACGAAAGATTAAGTATGTATATATACCAATATTTATAGAAAAGTATCTTTGCAACATTGTCCGGCCTCTTTTTAATGGAAGAAAAATAATTCAGACTATTCCGTTGCAATAAACAAGGAGGGTTTACGTAATATAATCTCTGTACAAAAAAATATAATCTTGATCTACAAACTGCGATATTTACATCAAACAATATAAATTTTTATGCAGCGAATTAGAAGATGCGAGAAATTTGCTTTGTTTAAATAATAATAAATAAATAAGTACCTACTGAGATATGTTTCTTCTAAATGTAACAATAAATCCATCTTGATATCGATTCAAATTAATTTTATGCATAAATATATAGAAATATGTAATTAAATTTTATCGTACACGTTACAATTTATGAAATTACTATCTTGTAACTGTTAGCTTTAATATTCCAACGATATGTAAAAATAACTGATTAGATATGATATGGTAACTCACTCCTATTTTCTAAGAAACAGTATAATAGAATTTTCATCATACCAGCTTTGAACCACCCCATTTTAAGGGTTGAACTTTAAAAGATACTCTCCTTGTGAGTCTCCACATCATACATTAAACGAAACCAATAAAATCAAACATTATGTTAATGTGGGACGTTTATGGATTAAAATTTCTAATCCGCTGCCTTCTATACATTACCCAAAAAATAAAACAAAAAGAAATAACTTACCAGGGTTGTGCAATCAATTACTTGACAAACAGATCCTTTAACGTGGAGCATATCGAGGAAGAGTCACAGGAATCGGTATATTCTCCTTCGTCCTTATTCGATATCCAAGTGCTTTTCGATTTGGCTGCAGTCACTTTTGCTGTTGTTGCTGCTGTTGTTGTTGTTTTGGGCGTGGCCCCTTTACTGTTCTTGTCATCTTGGCTTCCCTCGGGACCAGATTTTCTTAGAAACACCTCGATGGCATTACCGATCACCTCAGCATCCACAACAGAACCACTCTTCTCATCCCAAACCACTTTGTTCCTGTCCGACGTAGACTTGGGGGACGAGGACTTCAACTGGAAAGCTAAATCAACAGTAACAATTGACCAATTTAATAAAATTCATCATTCCAGATGTGTGCAATTAAAATAAGTTGTAATTTTGTACCAAAAAGGTTTTTATCCATCTCGCACTACGTATTCGTTGTTAATGTTAGTATTAATTTAGTGTGCATTTGGGGTGTCTTCAGTGTTTTGTCATTTACCCTCTTTGAATGTGATTTTCGAAGGAACGGGTTCCTTCTTCTGTTGTTTCTTGTTGCACATGGGCTGATGTCTTTTTGCAAACCAATTGGCCAATTGGGATTGCGTCGGGTCTGCAGACTTTTCTTTCTTGTCAGACACTCCCTGCAAAATCGATATGTCAAAACTGTTCGATCTGCTCGTTTTCAGTCTGTTTCTTCTCTGTTCCAGCGTCGACGAGGCAGTTGTTTCATCTAATTCTTCTGGAAATTTAAAATTTTACGTTATCACCTGACCGACGATCTCGATTTAGGTGGCAACTTACCAATTCGATTGATTTCTGTGGCTGACGATGTCAAAGAAGACAAAATGGATATCAGATCGGTATTGGAACATACGATCCCGGACGATGTGCCCGGTTTTTGGAAACTGGAAGCAGCTAACGATGTGTTTGGTACAAACTCCGAAGCTCGTCGGAATGAAGCAGACGGCAAGGGAGACAACGTTGTTCCTGAGAGATGAACACTTAATTCAAACAGGGATCCTAAAGGAAATTAATGATATCATTTTACCGGTAAACTCCGAAAATCTTCGTCCAGCGGCGTGGGTGTATCTCTGTACTTCCCCCTTATTTTCGTCCAGGGGTTGAACCTCACACACCCGTTCTTTGCTCGTGTTCCACATTTTCATTCTGACCTTGCGGGCCTTTACAATATCATCCATAATGTCTAACTAAAAACAAGTCGTTGTTGTTTTGTAAGAAACTTATTCGTACCATAATATTGTTACTTGTAACTTGTGAAGACTTCCAATGGGTTCTGTGGAGGGCGGACATGCTATGGACTCCCTCCTGTTGGGCAGGACCCTGTTCATAGCTCCACTGGAAGAAGGAAAAGCAGCGACGGACTCTCTCCTTTGTGGTCCCATTCCAAAAAGTCCTGTAGGCAATCTAGATATCGTTACCACAGAGTGTCTTCTTCCTCCGGGGGATGCCACGGGATTGCTTTGGAGAGTGGCCAGAAAGGCCTGCTCTCTGGCCTTCTTCGCTGCACCATCTTCACTACCCCTTTCTGATAAACGACGAACTTGGCTGGCAGTTATTCCTACGAACAACCCATCAGAAAGA